CGTGGGCGGCATGGCCTAGTGGTTAGTGCGCCAGCGCCAGGTGCAAACTCCCGGTGGTTCGATTCCGGCATGCTCACGGGGCTTTCTTGGTACACATCTATAGCGTATTCAGGCGGCTATGATGCTGTGCTGCTGCCCTCCCCCGCGGATTCTTCCCTTGTTTGTGGGTATATTTATGGTTTTTTTGGTTTTTTGAGCTTCTCCGATAGTACTCTAATCTGATTTATTGCGTGGGGGGGGGGGTAACTTCGTGAGGTTTCCTCGTCAATTGTCAAAATCCAATTCGATCTCACTCACTTCCCACGAATAATGTTTTCCTGCAGCAAATCTCGAACACAATTCACCAGATTACTCGTATTCGCTTTGTTCACCTGAAACAACGCCAGCATTACCACTACCACCACCAATCAATCAATAAATCGATCGATCAATCAATCAATCAATCAATCAACGAAGTGAACACTTCGTTTGCACATAAATAACAACTCTCAAACCTGTCCGTGTATCTTCTTCTTGAGTCTCTCCCAGTTGATGCGTTGATATTGCTCACTGTTCTTATCGGCAATCTGCTCTTGAAGCATCTTCAATTTCGCCGGTGGAATATACGCCCCACCTGTACGTGTCTTTAACATGTCCATTGGCTCCTTCCTCGTCGGCGCTGATTCCGTGTCGTCTGTCCGACGATTCTCAGACGCCTTCAACTGATGAAAAGTTGAAAATTTTCCACGAAAATGCAAATTCACAAAATTGAAACAATTCTATCGGAATTCCAAAGATTTCTGGAATGATATCGTTGAAATATTTTCTCAAATAGGAATTTTTTTTACAAAATCTGCGAAAATTCAGCCCCCCCCCCTCCTCAAAAAAAAACAAAATTTAAATACCCTCGTTCTCGTCTCTTCTCGACTGTTTGCATCTCTGGAGCCTCCTCGTCGATCACGAGCAATTTCTCCTCGTCTTCGCGGACTCGTAGAACTCTTTCTCTTTCTTCTATCATCGTCACCGCCGCCATCATCATCATTATATGCCTCACGTCTACGTTGTCTTTCTTCCGCTTCTCTACTTCTCCGACGTTTACGCTGTCGCTCATTGTCACTCTCATTCTCTGGTCTTGTACTCTTGCCATGTCTGTGATGTCGGCTTCTCTCTTTACTCGAACTCTTTTCACGTTTGTCTCGTCGTCGTTTCTCTCTTCTTTTCTCACGTTTCTCGTCGTCATCTTTCTGCGTTCCCCGATCTGCTGCATCACTAGCATGTCTTCGCTTCTCTCGTCCTCTTCCACCCTCTTGCGAATTCTCCCTCTCTCGCTCGTCATCTCGTTCCTGGCTACTCCTCTTTTCACGACGACGCTCACTACTTCCTAAATCTTCCTTCCTGGCTTCTTGTCCTTTTTCAGGCGATCGTCTTCTCGTCAAGGATTCTGTCGACTCGTCGCGATGTTTTGAGGCGGATTCCTGGAATGGGGCAGACAATATCAAGCGATTTCCCGGAAGTTGGGAAGACTCACTCATCAGAGTTGAATGTAAGACCCCGACCTATCACATGAACTGAATGCTCTGTCAAGACTACCACCACCTTCCAGCTATCCAATGCACAATTCAATTTACGCATAACAACACCAAATAATTAGGCTAAATCCAAAGCATAGTCTGGCTCAGATTCCGTCATATCAATGATACTAGTTGGTTCGGTTTCGAGCAAAAGTTTTGCTTTGGAAACCGAACGAATGCCGCTCGAAACCAATATCAGTTTAATTCACTTCAACTTAAAATTATCACAGTCGAACGAAACTCTACACAGCCAAAGGCAAACCACGAATGAAGAAAATTAAACCGGCTGATTTACGTTACACTGATCAATCAATCTGATCAATCGCTCCACTTACTTACTTACATAATCCAGATATCTTATCTAACTGCTCAAAATAAATTGCTATCACAAAAAATCTGTTCACACATGATGTGTTTATCTATTATCTCGTTGACGCAGATACCTGCCCGGATTGGCAAGCAGCAGCAAGCTATCAAACGTTTCTAACGTTGGCTAGGCGACGAGCAGGCCAACCGAACGAACGAACACAACCGAGTAATTAATTAAAGTTTCCATGAATACTTTGCTTAATTAATCGTCCTGGCCAAATGTCAATCCAATACACACAATCACAACTCTAATAAAATAAATATTCCGCCGCTGGCTCACAGCGATTCACAAAACAACTACCACTCGATATCCATGTAACAATAATAATAATAATAATGTTTGTTGCCGAATACAGATACATCAGCGATAAACCTGATGGGATATCAAATATCCACCAACTACTACATCAAATACTGCTACAACTCACCTTTGCAGTCGCTTCTCTTTCGGACACTTTGCTCTTGATCGATTCGGCTTTACCCGAAGCGCCGTCTCTCGTTGGAGAGCCATCAGAACGCTCTGAATGCTGCTCTCGAGGGCTGTGACTGCCCTCACGAGACATGGAAGTGTCCTGGCCAGTGCCACCACTTGAAGACCGTCCTGATTTGGGACTACTATCGGCAGTCCCAGTGCCGCCGGTTTCGTTGGTGATCGTCGATTCTGCTGCTACTGCTGCTGCTGCATCAACAGCAGACTGCTTGGCTTCTTCGGTTGGATTTCCGGCTAAATTCTTCGCTGTGCCGTCGTCTCCAGTTCCGGTCTCACTCATTTCGGTATGCGGCGAATAAGACTAGAAAATTAAAATTACTCACAGAGAGTTTTCAACACGAGAAATCCAACAACGGATGGGAGATCACGACAATGCAAATCACGACGACGGTTATGGAAACAATTCAGCGGATTGCGTTTGACTCAAAACAGCAGCAGCAGTAAACTAGTGCTGCGGACAAATTAAATTATTGACTGCGCAATTAAAAAATTAAAAAATTTCCAAGTTCCTAAAGACAATATAACTTGCTGAAACACCATCATCACAATTCTAATTGCCTCCTTATAGATGAGGCAGGCGGAAACAATAACGCTACTTTTACGTCCTAATAAAACGCGGCTAATGTAATAGGCGGATATAGACGAATGTAATAGACGGATCATTCATTTAAATAAAATCTAAATCAAGAATTCATAATCGGCAACATGACGAATAAATCAACGTTTAATTCAACGAAATTCGTTTCGGACACTTGATTTTAATCTGAATCCGAATCTGAATCTTAAAACTGAGTCACGATAACCAGATAAAACACCAACAAATTTTATTATTAATATTATGAGTGTGATCGATCTCATGATGTGATCTCAATCAATCAAGCATTATGACGACGAACGGATCAATCCGATCAGTACTTCGTCATTTTGTTATTTTGCAATGTATAGTCGGTCAAGAAACTTCGTTTGCGTTCGTTCCACTCTTAAGCCGATGCGCGTACGCATACACACACCGTTGTGTGCCGCTGGCTTGCATTGGGAAATGCCCTCTGCTCTCTGTGTGATCATTATTATTTATTATTATTATTATTATTATTATTATTAT